GTCTTTGCAAGCAAAATGAAAATATTTTTTTCCCAAATGGAATAGAGTATATCATAGAAGTAACTTCCCATGCAGAAAATTGCTTCAACAAAAAGATCCAGATCTTGCTTTTTCTTGTTAACTTTACTACTTGCAAGAGGTCTCCCCCCACCCCGCTTTTAACTTCAAAACATGAAACTAGTGTTTCAGATCAGATTGTGGATTTTTATGATCCCTTTCTTATGTGAATGTCTTGGTTTGCTGACTGGCTTAACAAGGTAAGAATTCATCATTGTTTTCTGTTTATGTGAGAAAATATAATAGTTAGGGCAAATAAATGCTGAATCATACCTTTGTTTCTGGCCTAATTCCAAGAGTTTTTGTACATCGCTTTTTGCTGATGCCTCATCATTTTTCAAAGACTGATAATAAAAAGAAGAAACCAGGTGTTACCAAGGAGATCCCTTAAAATTTTCACCACTAAAATTATTCATTTTGACTTTTTGTATTAACCACTGTATGTGAAAGGTACAGCACATTTATGACAGAAAAGAAAGTAAGGATGATACAACTTTGTTTTTCTATTGCCGAGACTTAACAGCACACTCAAATAAATTGGGTGGTTCATAAGGCAGAAGTTGATTTAACATGAATCTGAACATGAAATTCATTCAAATATCAATATACACAATATAATTATAAACTACCAAGAGTAATTAACTGAGATGGGTAGCTCAAGAAATTGAATGAATAAATTAGGCAAAAGTTTAGTTGTTATCATCATGCTTGGGTGGGGCTAATCATGGTTTCCAGCCTAATATTATGATACACTTTTTCCCCAGACTAATATTATGTTGTACTTTTTACACTACCAGTTGGATTTAAGACAGAAAATAAGACCTTGGTTCTTCAACTCATGCTTTTATTTTTTTTTCACAGAGCAAGCAGAGTAAGAATGAAAAATGAAATATTAAAAGTGATTTTATCTTTGGCTTCCTGTCTTCTTCATTTCTTTGACTTTCATTCATCACTGAACCACAAATGGAGGAAAGGCCACATAAGTCTTCTGTAAATGATCCATTCTCTGCAAGAAGTTTAATTGGTAAGAGGAATTGGGAACTGAGCATATCANAGACAATAGATGGTGGCGGGGACAGTCAGAGGGGGTATTTACCAGTTCTCTGAATTACTCAAAATTTCTGCTACCAGTTTTCCAGAACTGGTCAGAACCTGCTGAATACCACCTCTGTCTTGAAGACCCAATGGGGGAATTTCATACTGGAGGTGGTTGATTAATTAAAACCTAATCCCAACTCCTCACCTGCTATGTGTCCAACCCCCACCTTTCCTGGTTTTAATGTTTTGTAATTATCAATGATTTTACTGTGCATTACTGTTGATTTTAGTGTCTTTTTTGTTTTAGAGTCATTGGATATGAGAGGGAAGCAAATAAATTTTCTAAAGAAATAAAATAAACTCAGCCTGACCTAGGCTTGGAAAAAAAGCATGAAATGGAAAAACAAAAGCCTATTTCTTAGAAACTCTTGGAGGCAGGGTAACCAGTGATGAAAATAGGTTAAACAAGAACATGCAAATATGAAAATCTTCCACTGACTGATGATCTTCAGCTTGCACACATCTGCAGTATTTTCTTGGGCAATGGTATTCATCTGTTTACATCAGCCAATAGATGGCATTAGAACCCAGATGCAAAACTATCAAGAATAAGAGATTAGTAGCAGGTAGTCTCTCATTAATTTCCATAATTGGGATCAGCAACACAGTCATAAAGTGAGAAGTCATGTGACCTCACTGACTTATGGCAGCAATTGCAACAGTTCCAGTTGCAATTGTCAGGTAAATTCTGCAAGATTGAAAAATCTCACTGTCATGTGATTACCATTTGCAACCTCCTGCTGGCTTCTCCATTGAGTTTGCTTGTCAGAAGCTGGCAAATCAGGTCACAAACTCTAATCATGGACTGTTGCCACTGTTATAATTGTGAGCCAGTTGCCAAGTGATGAATCATGAACATGCGTCTGTAACTACACTGCAACAGCTGCAACTACAAGGACTAGTTGCAAATCTTTATTCGGCATCTTTGAAACTTCAATTGGTCACTGAATAAGGCTACCGGTAGAGAGGGGTTCCAAATCCCCAAGTTGTAGCCTGCTACTAGGCCTGTGGCCTACTGGGAATTGGGCCATGCATGCAGCTGATGAGGACATTAAGCTCTTTCTGCCCAAATGGAGACCACACAAACACAACCATCCCTTCTCCTCTGTCTCCACCATCGCTGCCAGTCCATGGAACTACAAAGGTTAGGAACTGCTGTTGTAAAGTCTTAATCTCCACCATGTCTTAATATATTAATACAGAAGTGTTGCTAAGAAATCACAATTCTAATAATAACCCTAACATTTTGAAAGGAAGAGCTACATATTAAATGTAAAAGCTATCATGTACATTGCCAATTAGGTTCAATGGAATAATTTCAGAGACCTAGTTTTTTTCAATAAATAAAGTGGGGAAATGTTTTTTAGTTGTTTTGGAAAATTTATTGCAGGGTAGAGAAGATAATGCATTGAGGCTCAGATTCTATCTGATAGGTTCCTTTATGCTGATGGATATACAGTTAGGTTGTTTAACTATTGAACATTGTTTCTTTGCATCAATGGATTGTTGGATTGTTCTTTGCATGAATTACAGGGCAATTTTGTGCCTTACTCTTTTGAATTGCTAGGCACATTTTAAAATGTGTGTCTTTTGAAGCAAAAAGGCTCTGAAATCCAGGAATTATTTAAGAAAGTGCTTATATTGGCATTATTTGCTTTATGGTTTTAATTGCATTAGTTTGGAGAATCAGAAGATAAGCTGAGGGGAATAGCCAACACTTTAGAAGAGAGACTCAAATTGCAATACTTTGTTGTAAGTCAGACAATATGTTTCATAAATTTTAAATGGATTGAAAATCTTCCCTTATCAATCCTGACACTATTTGAAAAGTGTGCGGAAGCGCAAGTGTGCATAGCATTTTTTTTTAACTTTCCCCAGATGGGGGTTCTTAAAATTCATCTCCTTGCTCTATCTTTTTCTTTTGATATGTTTGATGCCTCAACAGCAGGGGTGAAATGCTACCAGTCCAGACCAGTTCACCTGAACCGGTAGTAAAAATTGTACTTGGTCTACTGCATGTGCTTCAATAACAATTCCATGATTCTGTGTGTTTCTTTCATGTATGCAGAATAGTCAGCTGGTACTGAAAGATGCATTTTGCCACTGTGTAAAAATGGATTAGCCAAAAATCTATAAGATACACCCCAAAGTATTCAGGGAGCAAAATATTTGTTGTTCAATGATTCTAAATATGCGAGAAACAGTGGAAAAGTCTAGAAGGTGTGAAATGTAATGAGCCTGGACTTACCATCTCCTTTCTGTATTAATTGCTTTGAATCAATGTGTACATATGACTCCCCACAATTAGAAGTTTTTTTAAAAAAAACTTACTTCATCTTGGAGTTTATATGTTGAGTCGGTAAACATGGTCTATGGATATTTTTGAATTGAAATATATTTAGAAATTATAAATGTATAGTTGTGATATATTTATCTGGATTTCTTAATAAAAGAAATGGGTTCCTTACTGAGCTCCTCTAAATCCTGTGTCTTATTATAAAATATAGACATTTGCTCTTGCTTTCCTGCTCATTGCTTCATTCTGACCTTTGGCATCTATCAGCTTTAAAAGTTTGAGAAGAACCACTGTAGATTTTATCTGCCAGACAGTGTAAAAAAAAAATCCATCAC